TCTTATATATATATATATATATATATATATATGTGTGTGTGTGTGTGTGTGTGTGTGTGTGTGTGTGTGTGTGTACATTTATATATATTGTACATATGTATATAGTGTGTATGTATATATGTGTATATATGCAGTGTATACACACACACACATATCATTCTAAGTAGTGTCCTAACAGACAGCTATGTAGAGACAGAAGACTGTAGTGTCAGTTGACTACAATGGGGAAAAGAAAAGAAGCAACTGAAATGGGCCCAAGGCTTCTTGGTAAAGCTGTGGAGATACTCCATGGTTAGCACGTGGTGATTTTTGTGCACTCTAAATTTGCTGAAAGTCACTGAATTGTGTACTTCAGAGTGTAATTTTGCCTCTGACAGCCATCAGCAAGTCTGTTTGAAACAAAACAAGTCACATCACTAACGAAAGCATGATTCTTTACACATCATCCCTGCATCTTTTAGATCTATAACTTAATATATGAAATCTCAGGGAAATACTGTAATAACCATAAGGAAGGATTTCAGCTCTGAAATAATCAAGTACAATAGGATTGAAGTGGTTAAGGCATGCTCACTTGTATGTAGACATAAAGGATCAAGAACCCTACTCTAATATGGACATATCCTAACAATTGAAATTCACAATATAATCATCATTCCTCTCTATTTTTGGTTATTTTTATTGTTTTCATTCATGTTACACTCTGTGTGCTTTATTTTTTTTTAATTGCAAGGTTTCTTGCTTGCAAGATTCCTATTTTTCACAATTTGTGGAATTTTTTGATATGTCTGGTTACATTTTAAAGTAAACAATTTTGCTATCTCTTTTGTAATTTTAATCAATTTTATTAATAATTTCTTCTGCTTTGGGTTTAATATGACCTAATGACTCCTAACATAAACATATACCCAGTATTTTCTTCTGAAACTGTAAAACCATTTCTTACTTTAAGTCTTTTGCCCATGTGATGTATATATTTATCTCCTGCTACAAAGATCACCAGTGACTCTGCCAGTCTTAGCTCATGGTATGACATCCACAACATGCCTGATATGTACTGCCCCCATACACACTCTTCTGGTCTTTCCCCTTGATTCTGTCTATTGACATCTATCTCTCCATCAATGCTCTATTGTTTTACTCAGTATAGCTTTATGTCAAATCTCTATGATAGTGGCCCCAAGAACTAGATCACATCTCTTTAAAGAAAGCTCTTTTAGCCCCCAAGTTTCTCAAAGAAACTTTATCATCAGCAGCCCATGTTACATAAATTTTCCGTTAAACTTCACTTAGGTTTTAAAAAGAATTTGACATGGTAGGGCCCCTAAGCATGGTAAACACATTCTCTCATTCGTTTGTAATTTATACTGTGCCATTTGAAGAGGCATTCTGAGTTTGCTATGAAGCTCTTTCAGGATCTGTTAGGCTGTTTTTATTTGTTTCCTTTTGCTCTGAGATAAAGTTTCTTATAGCCCCAAGTTGGCCTTGAATCCACTTTGTAGTTGAGTATGGTCCTCCCTGTCTACCTCCTGAGTCCTGGGATTGCAGGTATGTACCACCACTCCCAGTTTGATAGGCTGTTTTTTTTTTTTTTAACAACAAGTTTTTTTTTTTAAAAAAAAGATTTTATTTATTTATTATGTATCCAACATTCTGCTTCCATGTATATCTGCACACCAGAAGAGGGCACCAGATCTCATAAGGGACGGTTGTGAGCCACCATGTGGTTGCTGGGAATTGAACTCAGAACCTCTGGAAGAGCAGTCAGTGCTCTTAACCTCTGAGCCATCTCTCCAGCCCCAGTAGGCTGTTTTTAAATATATCAATGACAACACTACCATGAATAGGATTCTTCTTTTATTTATATTATCTGTCTGTTGACAGTCGATAGGAATGATTCTTTAATTATTTAAATTGACCTTATATGGAAGGGACTTGCTGAGTTTTCTAAGTTATAGTAGTTTGGTTGCCTGATATGCCTTCCACAAAGCTGGTCCTGCCTCTTGAACCATGTCTATCAGAATTATTTTCTTTCACTCTCCCTACATCTCGCCCATAATTCCCCGTGTGTGTGTGTGTGTGTGTGTGTGTGTGTGTGTGTGTGTGTGTGTGTGTGTGTATATATGTGGGTGAGTGGGCTTCCAGTAGAACATGCAAAAGAAACAGATACAATGAGCAAAGTGTCTATTTCTAAGCAGATAGGGGATGTTTACCATTTCACCATTTTTTGTTTCTTTTTACTTTTTTCACTACATTCAATCATTCATTCTTTTTAATTTTTAAAAACATTAATTATATGATAGTATGTGGTAAGAGAGGTGTATCTGTGTGTGTAAGACAGAGTGTGTGTGTGTGTGTGTGTGTGTGTGTGTGTGCACCTAAGTGGAAATTCCCATGGAGGCCAGAATACAACTTGACATGCTTTGGAGCTGGAGTTAAAGGCAGTTGTGAGATGTATTAAGTGGGTACTGGAAACCAAATTTGAATCCACAGCAAGAGCAATATGTGCTCTTAATCACTGAACTATTTCTCCAGCCTCAACTCATGTTTGTTAGGTATATTTCATTGAGTTAAAAAAAAAAAATTTCCATATAACTAATTAGCTAAGAATTTCTTTTTTCTTTTCTTTTTTCTTTTTCTTTCTTTCTTTTTTTTTTTTTTGCAAGAAAGGATTTCTCTGTGACTTTGGAGGCTATCCTGGAACTAGCTCTTGTAGACCAGGCTGGTCTCGAACTCACAGAGATCCACCTGCCTCTGCCTCCCGAGTGCTGGGGGTTAAAGGCATGTGCCACCAATGCCCGGCTGAGAATTTCTTTAAATAATAAATCTAAATTGGCTGCTTATTTTGAACTGACTACAGTTTTGCTTTATTAGCATATCATTAGCATATTCAAACATAAATAATAGAGTCCTCCCTTTCCTGGGGCAATCCTTCTTAAGACATAACTTTCAGATACACCATGGATTTCACTGTGTGCTATGTATTTCATCATTTCCATCTTCCATGCATGATGTCCTTGGTGACATGAAACCACTTTCTAACCACACAATCCTTGGAAAGTGAGCTAAGAAGAGTTGGCTCAACTGCTATTCTCAGAATTCTGTTCTGTGTCCATTTTGTATAACTAAGTTATTAACTTCTTACTGGTCTGCTGAATGTGAAGGAGAACAGAATGTTTGGGCTTGCCCCAAGAAAACCAGTCTGAGCTCAGTCTCCAGAACACACATGGCGGAAGGGAAGTATTAAATCCTCCATTTTGTTCTCTGACCTCGACACACAAGCCTAGGTTCTACCCCTGAAACTCATATGGTAGAAGAGAACCAATTCCCACAAATTGTCCTCTGACTTCCACAAATGTACCATTGCCTCCCCTCAAATTACATAAATAAATGCAATACATTTAAAAGCACAACATACAAAAAAATTATTTCTAAAAAAGTTAATGAATTGACAGCTTGAATTTAAAGAAACACTTTAAAAGGAGACCTCTCGAGAGTAACTTCAAATATTTGTTTTAAAAAACAAATATAAGAATAGCCTTAAATATAATAAATTTTGTTTTACTTTACAGTATTCTACAAATTTTTCTAGTGATGTGATTACAAAATTATGATGCAAAGATCTAATGCCAAATGAGCATTGAAAGAGTAAAGCAGCTACCTACAATTATTTCATCTTGAGTAGTTCCGGTTTTATGACTTCAACACAGAAAAGAGGCACCGTTCTCCACCAAAGCAAATGAAGCCACAGAAGAGGGTTGGGTGTGGCTCAGCGGCAGAACATGTTGCCCAGCATCAGCACAGCCCTGGTTTCAGTAGCCAGTGATACAGAAGAAAAGCAACTGATGCTGCGGACACCCTGCCTGAGGTACAAAGGATACCCTGACTGAGCAGTAGTTGACACTAGAATTTAAACCCTTCCTTTCTCCTGTGGACACTTCTACAGTATGGAAACACTAGCCTTCAAATTCTTACCACCTCCAGCATAAATGCTAAGATC